GCCGTAGTGCAAACATCATCTCTGCAACTTGGGCAATTGTTGCCTTGCAGGCGGCATTTTGCTGCTGTTCTTGGGTTGGGGTTACCAAAGCTTGGACAGCTCTGTAAGGACAGGCTGCTTGTTGTCTGCAGCTGCATGAGTTCTCCATGAGATTTGCCTTCTGAAAACTTTACTGTGAATTGACCCAGTTGCCCATTGTTTCAATTGCTTCAGCAGTGAAGGCAAACTGGGGCGGGGTTTTACTTCTCTTCATCAGAGAAATTGAGACGCGAGGTGTTTAAAGTGGTAATTTTATATGGGGTATAATAGTAAAGGAAGAATTGATGAGAGGGAAGGTAACAGATCCCCTCCACATTCTATAATGTGCCATTACCAGCCCCACAGAGTATCACTTTTCATATTGTGCGAGAGGTGTTGTCAGGTAAATAGGAACTGGATTGTCCACATCAGGTCTGCTCTACGTCCCTCGGCAACAGTGCCCCTGAGGGTTGCAAAGCATATGAAGGTTCCACAGTGACAAGGAGCTTTCTTCACCAGACAGAGCTATGACTCCAGGGGTCAGTTTGAAATCTGGACTTTACTCCTTGTCTGAGATAGATGTTGCCCCTCAGCTTGCCCTGTTGCTTGCCCTCAGCCAGGATGTACTCTTGCTGTTACGGTTAGGCCTGCATTGTTTCAGATCAGTCATTCCCAATCCTCTTATTCAGCTACCTGTCTCCAGAAATCTGGACTGCTCCAAACTCTCTTCTCACTGACTTTGGAGCAGCCCAGTCTCCATGTTAGAGTGAATACAACTAAATAGGGTTCAAGCAGTGGTGGTGCCCAGAGTATTAGTCCCTCAAGTTTGATGTACCAGTGCTGGTCCATCTCTGATTAGTGACCACTGGGTTAGAGCACTTGCTCATCTTCTCTTGGGCACTGTGTCACAGCTCAGGCATCACAAGCAAGTAGAGTTTACAGAACAATTGGCAGTAACTTTGGGACCTGATCAATGGCTGAATGACAAAACTCTGACAACCCAAATCCCTCTGTTCTCCAAATCTTGACAGACCAGCCTAAGGAATATCTGGATGGCCCCACCTGTTAGTAGTTTCTAACAATGAGCAGCTCAGAAACGTAATTTTACTGGCGACCTCACCTGCTGCCTTTGGGCCCCAGGCTGTCTGAATAGCTCCAGCACTGATGTTTCTTGGGGAGGCACAGCTTGGCAGGCAGACAGACATGCTCCCACAAAAATCTATCTGGGAGCCAAGAGGCAATGAGTGGGACATGGCCCTTTCTACTGGGAAGGTGAGAGAAAGAGGAGCTGAGACTGGATGGGATTTTGTGAATGGCCTAATGTCTGTCTTGTAACGTTGCGAATTTGATCATTTCAGTGTTTGGATTTGGGGGGATTATATCATCTGGGATTTGATCAGGAAGAATTTTGTGTTAGACTCCATTTAAACCCTCACATGTGGGCGGTGATGCACCGTCAGAAACTTACTGAGGAGGACTTTCCAAGTGGAGGGGTGGGGACATAAATGTTAGAGAGAGGAGATGAGGAGTGAGACAGTGGTTCTGTGTGAATCCTTTTGTTCTGAAGCCAGCCAGCTACTTGATTCAAGCCAGGGGGCAGATGCCTCATCTACTAAGCAGCTTTGGGACGTCCAATATTTATGCTGAATTAGACCATGAGGCGCAAAACCTTAGAAAATTCTGCGTAGCCTTTGACATCTTGGTACACGCACAGGACATTACTCAAGTGTTTGACATTTTTACTAGGTTTCAACCCTCGTTATCTTTTGGAAATTCATCCACTTTAAGGGCTCTTGTCTGATTTTTTTGTGCAATTTAGATGGAAAAGCAGTGGAACACAGCTCTCCTGTTGGATATACACGAAATCGATACTCAGGCACCTGGATTTTTGACCATGCATTGAGATACACATCCGGTATGTGATGGAAGGGTGTGAAAGTTTAACCAGGGATCACAGAGCAAGGGGAAGCTCTAGATGCAACTGGCATGTTGCACAAATTCCAAACACAAGACTCAGGAAAAAATCTGGCAAAGTCTAACACACCAATAAACCGTGCACGCCCCGCCCCCATCTCTTTCCATACCTCGGGCAGCGTTAACCTGCATGACTGGTCCCAACATGGCCAAGAGCCCAGGGTGGCTCTGTGACCATAGCAACAGTGCCCAAGGCCATGCAAGCATGTTCTTTGTAAGCCGCTAGCATGCAGGGTGTCTTTTTTCACCTTGTCTTTCCTCCCCCTGAAATAACACACACGTGGCAAATCATCACCACCTTCTCTCATTTTGGGGGTGAGTGTGGATGTTTCTACTCCCTCCCCTCCCCGAAAAGCACTGCAGTGCAGGATCTTCTAAACACAGGCCTCTATTTTTAGGGTTTCTCTGTTACAACCTGAGGACTCCAGGACTTGCTTAGGTCCCATGACAACCTCCACAAGTTGTCCTGTCTTCAGGGCATGGAGCTTTAACTGTTCTCACGTTACCACTTGAGGGCTCAGAGGAGTTGGCTAGATGTACCCTCATCTGAGGATGTGGAGCAAACACCTTCTGGGAAATTAGCCCAGAGCCCAGGAGAACATCAGCACAAAGAGCGTCTAGGTTGAGTCAGCCCTCCTGCTTCTTTTATATTATGGCACAAGCCGTCCTGTATACCAGGCTTTTGTGGAAGCTGTGATTTTAGTGTTCAGTACTGTGAAAGGTCAGGGACATGGCTTGTGTATACATGGGAAGAAAGTAAAATGGAAACCCGCAGGGTCTCAGTGACAGTGGATATAGAGCACTGGCCTTTCAGCCTTGGAGATCTGGGGTTCAAATACTGGCTTAAGTCACAGGTGACAAGGAGTTTGGTGGGTCTTTCATCTTGGCCCTATGTGTCCACATCTCACCCTCCCATATTTTAGATCACTATCAGGATCTGCCCAGGAGAAGCCAAAGGGCAGACTAGCAGAGGATCAACAGCCTTGGCAAATCCATTGGCCCATAGCCAGCACTAACAGCCTCTCACCTCTTCTGGCATCAGATTCATGGACACTTGTTTTCAGATGAGAAATCTCCTGTGTTCATGTTGGAAATGCAAGTTCAGCTTCAGGTTTTTGCCTCAAGGCAACACGTGGTCACATATGTGGGCCATTTTTTTTTCTTTGTGGAATGCTGCTCGACTAAATGTACTTACATGCGACAGAGACCATTTCCAGGGAAGTGGGGAGAAATACAAAAGAAAGACGCACAGGCTAATAAAGATCAGAATAGAGCCCCTCATTCTTTTTGTTTTCTCCATGATCTTCATGTATGCAAAGCTGTCCCTGGGTATTTGGCTGGTATTGCTGTTGGTTATGTTGTTTTCCTCTTGGCGTGACAGATCCTTAACAATCAAATGGAATTGTTATCCTTTGTAACCCAAGTGGTGAAGAGTATTTTCATTGACTGATTATATCTGGTTTTGAGTACTCCTATAAAAAGAGGATTTGGGTTTGGGGAGAAGTATAATGAATCATTTAATATGTAAAGTGATGTCAGAGGGATGATATCAACCTGTTGAGGCCCAAAATTTGGCCTACTTTGAATTTGTTAAAATCTGCTACAGACTGGCCCTGGGATTATGACTCTCTTTTCATATTCAAAAAATAAATCTCTTGCTAAGAAACGAAAGTGGATTTGGTTTGCTCCGCTCCCTGAGTGTGATTCCCCTTCCGAGAACGAATACAGCATTTTAAATATTGTTTCAAAAGACATCTTACTCTGACACTGCTATAGCACACTGTACTGTAGTGTGTTCTTGTGAGCGCCCCCTGCAGTTTCAGCACCAGTGGCGAGGAAGAAATACCCTTCGCAACTCGAAGGGCATTCCCATAGCAATGTTGTTTATTCAGAGACAAAGAAGACTTCTGCTCTGTTAGAAACAAAAGGGACACAGTCCAATAAGCTTCCCCCAAACCAAAAGGGACAGGTCATTGCATGAGAAGGAAAGGACATAAATAACAGTATACAGATAACTGGTTGACATTTTCCCTTGAAAGACATCACTCAGCTGAGCAAGTATGACCAAGAAACAAAAGAAGCAGGTGAATATTTGCTTGAATTTGTATGAGTGTGTGCTTTGGCCACACTCATGCTCCTTTGGTGTTTACTCACGTCCATGAGTTTTACTGGCTCTGCATGGTCAGGAAAAGTAAATTTAAAAGATACATTATCAAATAGCTGTGGACATTACATTTTAAATTCACACAAAGTAATGTTCTCTCTTCGCCCCTCCCTCCCCAGGTCCCCCTTAAAAGGGAGCAGGAACAGCGCTCCATGACTAATCATAGCTAACAGCACAATTAACAAATTGTGTGTCACTGCAAAGAATGATTTACAACCAATCCATAGAGGGTTTTTTTTTTAAAGTATAAGAATTTTAAATAACAAATATATTTGAGGAAGTCTCTAACTGCTTATGAATGTTCCGTGAGCAGGAGAGGCTACATTCATTGACAAATAATTTTGTCGTTGCAAATTATTCTCCTAGCTCAACTTTTGTGTCTCTGTTACTGCTGACTGCTTGTAGATACATATCTTCTGAGATCAGATAAGCAAACTGAGAGGCGGAAATACAGCAATCAGAAGAGTTTTACCTATAAAGGGCTAAAGTTCATTTTAATCTATCTGGTATCCTCCTGGATACGTACCAAATCTCTTTGTGTGGTAATTACATTGCTTGAGAAATTTTGAAGATAAAAAAACTGGAAATACTAGTTCAAGGTTTATTCTGACTACTAGAAAATTATTATTTATTATTATTATTATTATGAAATCATAGTTCAGGCTACATTGAGAGTGGTTCTTCCAAATAAAATTATAAAGATATACTGTAAATATAAATGCAGCAAAATATGTCAAGTACTCTTACTCAGCAAGAAAGGATCTAGAGGTGGACAGTGGAGTACAAATTCCCTGCACTTAACTCCACAAGCCTTCCAAACCCTCTCTTGCTGACAGCTGCACTGTCCTCTCATCCGTTTGTAGTTGTCTCTGTATCATGGGGCTGTCTGCTTGTTACTGATTTAATATGGTAATCTGTACTTTTCTGTCCTGTTTTTCAGGGTCTTATGAGTGTGGAATATGTGGGAAGAAATACAAGTATTACAACTGTTTCCAGACCCATGTGCGGGCGCATAGAGGTATCTCTCTCCTGCTCAAACCTTTGAGAATCCGAGGTTAACATTCATGCTTTTGAGATTCCTCTGCTGCTACTGCCTGTCATTATAATGAGCCTACCAAGGGCCACTGTTAGGATGAACCCTTCTGCAGTCAGGAGGAAGGGGGTCCATGCTCCAGCAGTATTCTTTCTGGACATCACCATGAGCTACCACGTTCAATTAATTTAAATAAGATATCAGTGAAATTTTCTACAGGGGTCTCTTACTCTCTTCCTGTGAGGGGCTGTGATTTGGGGTGCACTGCTGAATGTGGGCGCGTTCCTCTCTGACGCAGCATTCCAAACGAATCAGCAGTCCAGTTCCTGTAGTAATGGAAGGCATCTGTCCAGGGCTCCCCAAATTCCTGCCAATCCTGTATATTTTAATCCATTTCTGTTTTGTTGGAAATCAGGCCAAAAAAATAGTTCAGTATCTCTAAGGATATTGGTGCGTTGTAAATAGATTATCCAAAGCACTTGTGTGTCTTCAAGGAAAGGAATTTTATGCAAGTAAAACATGTATGATGATCATGTTTGTCATTACTTAAATACTTACTGAGATTCTTAACATTGGCTGCTAAATGGCACTTCTAGTCAAAATCCCTTTTTTCAGTAACTTTCAAAATGTACTTCTGGTATAAAAACCACAAGGAGTCCGATGGCACCTTAAAGAATAACAAATTTATTTGGGCATAAGCTTTCATGGGTAAAAAACCCACCCACGAAAGCTTATGCCTAAAATTTGTTAGTCTTTAAGGTGCCACTGGACTCCTTATTGTTTTTGTGGATACAGACAAACACGGCTCCCCCCTGATACTTCTGGTATGAAATTTCTCATGCTTGGTCTAGGGAATATTGTGTGAAAATTTTCTAGAAGTCTGGCCATTGTTAAGTAATCTGAGCCTTGAGGAAAGCATCGCTCGGTTGTAAAACTTTTCTGTTGTCATTCAGAAATGGCTTTATTGAAAAACTGCATACTTGGCATGGTCAAAACACTGCTTTGACTTTCTTGAAGCAATACGATTACAAAATAACCGATTGTGCAATAACAGAATTATGGACTTTTGAAACTGGGACATCAAGCATACAGATGCATTTATTTCACTTCAGAGACTAGCACTGAGGTGTGTCTCTCTGAATATTTTAGGGGTATCTTTTTAAAGTGCCCACATTGTGATAACATCTGCATGTTTTTGGATATATTTCCTTTACATAATGATTATGGCTGGAATTGTCAAAGGAGCCTATGGGAGTGAGGTGCCCAATTCCCAATGGCTGTTTTGAAAATCCCAGCCTAAAACATTATAATGTATATTAAAGATGAAGATTACAAATGTAAAGTCTCAGAAGTCAGCAAATATGAGAGTTAAGAGTGAGTTAACTCTTCCCATTTCTGAATGTATACTATAATACATCCTTTAATCACATGGTCACATACTATTTCTCAAATAATGCAGTATAATATTATACAATTTCTTCTACAACCTTACATACATATTGGTAGCATGTTCTAATATTTTGTGAATGCCAGCAAAGTCCCTGACCGTCACTTATATAAGCAATACTACAAATTAGTAGCATACCATAGTTGAAGCAAAACATAAAGCAATAGTGAACTGCGTTATCTGTTGGCATATAAAAGGTTTGCAACTGTAACATTAATTGTTTCAGTAACTACAGTAAATAGATTGTAAATTAGTTGGGGGCAAAGACTATTCCTTGCTGTGTTTCTATACAGCACCTAACACGTTGGGACCCTAATCTCAGCTGGCGTCCAGAGACATCACTGTAGCATCATTGATTAAGTATAGTATGTTACATTTTATTGTAACGACATGCTTATTTTTAATTCAATTGAATACTTAGGGTGAAATCGTCTCTCTCTCTTTCTTTCTCAAGTGTTAATAGGAGTGTTTCCTTTAGTGGAAACAGGATCTTATACTTAGCTTCTGAAAACATACATTTTTATATCTGTTTATGGAGCAAATTAATTTCCAAATTATTTCTACTTGTGAATTTAGAAATATGTTAGTAATTTGCAAATCAGAGGTGAACAAGCACAGTTTACATGTGCAACAAATTCTTAGCTGAAATTAAATAAACTTTCACGCCATTTTTAAGAGCATGCACCCGGTACTTGGTGAAAATAATACTTGAATTTTATTAAGGCCGTTTGAGGCTAGGTCACATTAATGATATAAATTAGCTATTTCTTCATGTACACAATCAAATAAGAAATCATAAATGAATATTTACTATTGCCAGAGCTCTATAAATGTCATTCATTGATAAATAGATTGTGAGATGATACAGTAATAAATTACTGTTCAGAGATATATCTGCTTGCACAGGGAAAATATCCTGTTCAACGTATATTGTACATGTTCGGTGAAAAAATAGTAAATAGCATAATACCATGTAGAGAGAATGTTTTCCATTAAGCACAATATACTGGACCATTCCAATAATGAGGATGAAATCAGTGAAACCATACAAGAATGAAAGAAGTGTATTGCAAGATGCTTCACATGTGTATATAAAGTTGTAGAGAAAAAAGTGTCTATTATATTGTAATGAGTAACCGCACAAGATGACCATGTCGTTAGCACATGGGCCGATTGAACGTTGTAGATGCAACCATAACTTTGGCATTTCCTCACTGCTGAGTTTTTAAATTCAAAATCTTATGTCCACGTAATCGGATTTTAAGTCCAAAGCCACTGGTGACACTGCTCCCCCAGCTCTGTTTGACCCTCTAAGGCACTGGTACTTGAGACTCTCCCACTAGAGCTGGGCACGTAACTGATTTTTTACTTTTTTGGCAGTTTCAGAAGCATGATGAAAAATTTGTTTTGGGTTGAACTGAACACAAAAATTTTGGAAACTTTCAACAAGTCGAAAGGTTTAGTTTCAAGTGAGACAAAACATTTCATTTTGATTTTGAGCATTTTAAGCACTTGAATTTTTAATAAAATCACAGAAAGGTTCTAAATGAAAAGTCATTTCAAAGCAAAAAATTAAAACATTTCATTTAAAAATGTTGAAATTTTGAATTTCTTGGAATCTTTTGTTTGTTTCTAAACAAACAGTTTGTCAAAACTGCATGAATTTGTGAAAGATTTCAGTGTTGCCAAACTTGCATTTTTTAACAAAAAAAAAGTTGATTGAAAAATTTCATACAATTCTACCCCTCCCTCCTTTGTGCACACTCCATCTGCCAGTAACTCACCCCTGGAATCTTGTAGTCACTTCCTCTTCACAGCGGTCAGCAAGGGAACCTTCTTTCAGCACCTGGATCTTCTGACTTTGTATGCTACTGCTGGGATGTCCAGTGCCCTTCCTCTGAGCTTCCTGAGCCAAGTCAGTCCACCGCATTTTTTTCCTGTCTGTTTCTGTAGTTTTTGATCATTCTTGGCAAGCTGGCCTTAGCACACCAGCTCTTTTTCAAGGCCAAACAGCTCATTTGCGCCAAGCACCTTCACCACGTCTTTGGGGTTCTTTCTTCCATTGCTTTTTAGTGCTTTTTGGTGGAGAAGTGTCCAGTTCTCTTCTTCACTAAAAGGGTTTTGTTTTGTTTTTTTCCCTGGAGAAGACTAATGTCTTTAAAGGTTTGTATTTCTTTTGACACCAAGTCAGTAGGTTCTGCTGTCATTAAAATGACCCTGTCAGACCTCATGTCTTTCCATTATGACCTGGCTGGCCTACAGCTAGAAGGTCTTATACCATCAGAGACAGGACACTTCAATTGACAGCCTCAGACCTGTTTCAATTCAGATTACATAGAAATCACCCATATGGTCCACCCCACTTTACAAAGGGTTATTATTGCCAGGGTTGGCTTGTAGGAGGAATGTCATCATTCAGTGCTGCAGATCGTGTCCCCAAGATGTGTGGGGATCACAGACTCTCCGGCTCCTTTGAGTTTGGTTTCTTTTTGGAATGTTTTTTTACAGGAGTTGGCTTTTGTTTTATGGAGGACACATCCATTTCAGGCTTCTTCTCTGTTGCTCTTGGCAAGTATCTTCTCCCCACTTTCATTGCAGTTTGGGCCTATCTTTTTACTAGTCATGCTGCCTGATGCTTCACTTCTTGTTTCTTTTCTTGTTTGGAAAACACCCCTTTGAGCTGTTCAGCTCCATAAGTCAGAATCCTGTGCTGACGACATCTCTAAAGAATGGAAAAATACTTTTCTGTAATTCTGACTTTCAGAAGAACTTTCATACAATTTTATGTCTTCATCCACCTCAACTGCCCTCCCAGTTTGTGGGGTCAAGGGTTCTATTTTGTGGGTGGCATGTTATCTCTTAGGCAAGATTATTTGTTCATCCTTGGGAATGGTTTGTTTCCTGTTTGAGAATTTGGCATTTACCTACACAGAAGAGCCTTCCCCGCGTAATTCTGAACTGGTTGGACATTTCTAGGGAATGAGGTCCTGGCAGTTTGAGAGTTCAAAGTGTTGCGGGAGCTTTTGTTCAAGTACTAGTGCCTGAGAGCAAAGCATCGTAAACTTCCTGTCCTGAGTGTAAATACATCTTCACAGGAGCAGAAGGGCAGATAAGAAATTTCTCTTCCACACTTTTTCAAGAGGGAAAAATAACAGGGCGGTGGAGGAGAAATGGTGAAGTTAGAGTAGCTGAAAGAATCCTTTGCAGTGAGCTTAGAAGCCCTGCAAAAGCAAGATGACTTCCTCCTCCTGTGGAGCATCTAAACTGTGCTGGAGCACAAGGATTTCAAACTATAATGCATTTCTGCAGGGAAATGTCCACCAGACTAACTAGCTGTGACAATAGATAGTATCATAGATGCCAGCATTAGCAAATGCTACTGCACGTGCATGAAATCAAGTTCTTAAGTACTTGTAACTCACTGTATTTTTTGTTTGTTTATAGCTTTTTAAACCATGAAAGGGCCTAATCATCAGTAGGAAGGAACCATCCTGAATGTTTTAAATTGTATAGTTCAGCTATATTTGAGTGAGGTGAG